GGATGCTCAGCCCGGGGATCACCGCAGGGATGCTCAGCCCCGGGATCACCGCAGGGATGCTCAGCTCTGGGATCACCACAGGGATGCTCAGCTCTGGGATCACGGGATGCAAGAGGCGTTGGAGTGGGACAGACTCACCTGGAAGCTCTTGGCATTGAGGCTCTTCTGGCTCTCAGCAGCCACCTTCAGCCTGGAGTCCAAGCCCTTCATCAGGGCCTCGGTGTTGCGGACGTACTGGAGGTCCCGGTATGTCCGGAGGTCCAGCACCTCCATAGACTGGGAGATGTTCTGCACCTACGTGGAGGGACGGGAGGATAAAGGCCTTGCTCTGTTTAAGCCCTTTGCTGCTGACAAACAAGCTTGAGATGGGGAAATGTGAGGGGCAGAGGCAAGGATGGGGAAGGGACCAGTGGGGACATCCCAGTGTCCCCATCCCCAGGGCACCAGTGGCCAAAAAGGAGCAACCCCTTCCCCCTGCAGCATCAACCAACGTGTTTTACACCTCCTGCTTCAGCCGTGATTTGGGTTTTAAACCCCTCCAGCCCCGGTCGATGCGTTTTCACTCCTTCATTTCATCAGCCGCAGCCACTGAAGCTATTTTACTTCCAGGCTTCCAAATGACACCGACGTGATCGTGTTCCTCAAACACTGATTTATTTATTAGCACTGGCCCCGCTGGTATTTATGGAGCCATGGAAAGGAGCTGCTCCAGAGGAGGGTTTGCAGCACGTTATAATAAAGGTTTAATGGGGTTTGTGGTGTGGAAGAACCTGGGGAATTAAATGAGCTCTGTTAGAAACAGGCTCAAGCATTGTTGCAGAGCTCATAAGGAAGAGGTCAGGAGCATGGAGCTGCCGTGGGAAACCACCCGGCTTCCAGTGAACATCATTTTGGCTCTTGGAATGTGATCCCGGAGCTGGTTGCAAGCTGTGCTTGGTTCATGTGCCGAGGGCACCATGGCAACACGATGCGCTGTGGTGTGGTGACACCATAAAGGGTGCAGATGGGATGCTTGGACCGGTGAGCAGCAGAAGATACTACTTACAGTGCCCAAAGGGGCTACAGGAGACCTGGAGAGGGGCTTTGGATAAGGGATGTAGGGACAGGACAAGGGGAATGGCTTTAACCTGCCAGAAGGGAGATGGAGATGGGATCTCCGAAAGAAGTTCTTCCCTGTGACGGTGCTGAGACACTGGGATGGGTTGAATGGAGAAGGTTTGGATTAACCAGGCCTGGCATTGTTCAAGGCCAGGTTGGACACAGGGGCTCGGAGCAACCTGCTCTAGTGGAAGGTGTCCCTGCCCATGGCAGGGCCATGGATGAGCTTTGGGGTCCCTTCATCCCGCCCCATTCTACTGCCCTGCACCATCCCCACCAGCAGCAGGTTCGGCCTCACCTTCTCCATGAGCTGCCGGAGCTGGTGGCTGCGCAGGTCGCGGGAGCACGAGCCCTGCACCGGGATCACGGCCGTGCAGAGGCATTTGCCATCGGGGGCTTGTGCCGAGGTATAAACCTGCCAACCCTCGTCGGGGCTCTGGAACAGGGTCTGTGGGGCAGAGGAGCGAGATGTCAGATGCTGGAGCCACGATTCCCAGTGCCGAGCGCATCCCACCGCGGCTCAGCCCCTCCGGTACCCACAGGGGCTATAAGAGGGCTGGAAAGGGGCTTCCTTGTTCTCATCGCATCCTGCTCTGCAGTTTTCCCTCCTTCCAGGC